GGCTGGGTGTTACCAGCATTTCATTTATGAACCCTGTACTGATATATAAAAGAATTGTAAAAAAAAAAAAAAGACAAAAAAAAAAGAAAAAACAAAATAAATGTTTCCCAATTTTAGTTTGATGCTATTTAAATTAGTTTTATGATCAAATATCTTAGTTTTTATTGTGGAAGCAAAACAGTGCGATGCAGTACGATAATGATTGAAAGATGAACAAATAAACATTCCTCAAAAACCTGTTGTATCGTATTTGAAGCTCACATTCTAAAAAATGCTGGGTTAAATACAACCCAGTGCTGGGTAAATTTGTCCCTATTTTACCCAGCACTGGGTTGTATTTAACCCAGCATTTTTTAGAGTGTAAGCCTACGTTTATTAATCCAGTAAGTGTTAATCTTGTAACCAGCAATATAACATTTATTCTGATGTTTACTTAGTAAAAAATTCACAACAAAAATACATATGTATGACCTGAAGGTGGAAATTTTTACACTTATTAAGAATTTTACTTGCAGCAAAGATTTCATAATGTTGATCCTTTAGAGCAGTGGTTCCCAACTCTGGTCCTGGAGGCACCCCAATACTGCACATTTTGCATGTCTCCTTTCTCTGACACACCAATTTCAGGTCTTGGAGTCTCTACTAATGAGCTGATGACCTGAATCAGGTGTGTTTGATTAAGGAGACATGCAAAACGTACAGTGTTGGGGTGCCTCAAGGACCAGGGTTGGGAACCACTGCTTTAGAGGCCTTACAAATTTTCTTGTCAAATATGAAGCAGTAGACTTTATAAGGTTAAAACTTTACCTTTGGTATATTGTACATTTTATTTAATTAAATGAAGTAGTTTGGAAAATGGATGGATGCAACAATGAATAATCTTCCACCCCAGAACTGTGCAAAACTGCCAGATGCTATTAATCTTCCCAAGTCTGACTAAATCCATTTCACAATGCAATAGAATCTTGCAAGAGTTCATAATTCAAACGCAGGAATTCAATACAAGGGGGCCACGGCCCATGGAAACAGCCGCCACCCTATTTATGTAAGCACCCCCCAACTGATGACTCATCGCTGGCTGGAAACACTGAGCAGCAGAATTTCGAAGGTCTGTTCTAACTCCAACCAGCTCTGAAGTGCTGCTCTTAAACCAGCAGAGGACGCTTGAGGGTGAGGTCTATGAAGTTTTAATATTTACATATCAGACAGTCTATCTATTCAAAGAGTGACAGATATCATCTATATAGAGATAAATAGAAGATTTCATACAGTCAGTCCTCCTAAAAGCTGCTGTATTTGTGAGTTTGTGCGACTCAAAGGGGCACGGGACACTCTTGGCAAAAGTTCAGGAAACACTGAGTTGCTCCTGTTAAAAACGCTCAGAGTAAGTCCTAGCAGAGATAACATGCTCTCCTAAGATCCGGGACCCCTGCCAGGACACTCCCCTGAACTGAGGAATGGAAACTGAAACATGGTCTTTCAGTAAAAACAGTTTTGGTTTTTCCCACTAACGGTGAGGACAACCTCTAGAGCTGATGTCACGTTGTAGCAATCTGTGTGTTTGGAGGGCTGAGGAACTGGACGGCAGGTCCCATCACAGGAGCAGAGCCACTCCCCTTTCCTGAGCTCAGCTTGGAGGGGAAACCCAGGCTTTAAAAGTTTCATTCCACTTAGAAGACAGTCTCTCGCCAGACTTGCACCCACCAGCTTGTTCTTCTCGGACATCTCCAGCCTGCGTGTCTCAAGATGACCAGCTCCAAATCTTCTCAGACCACACGTAACATTGTGATCGCCTGCCTGGCCCTGTGGTCCATCATCTCTCTTATCATTATTGTGGTATGGGCCACCTCGCCCGAGATGAAAGGAGCCAGTCAGTGTCGGACGGAGATGCAAGACCTCAGGGAGAGACATGAAGGGGCAAAAGTCGTGTGGACCAAAGACCGAAAAGCTCTTGAGGATCTGGTGAGGCAGGGATGGAGGAACCAGACCACTTTACAGAAGCAAATCGACCTGTACAAGGAGCAAATACAGTCTCTGAACATCTCTTTGAATGACAGCCTGCAAGAAATTGTGAGTTTATCTTCTTGCTTGGGTTTCTTCTAGCCTTAACCTCAGTAGGTTACAGTGACATGCAGATTTAAAAAAAAAAAACTGACTTTCAGTTTTATTTTAGTTGAAACTTTTAGATATGAAACTGTTTTGTTTTACATAATGAGCCCCAACGGGAAGTTGAGAACAGGTCAGGTTGAGTTAAATCTGTAGAGTTATGCAAATATATGCCAAATCAAATGATCCGAACGTTAAACACATCTGCTGCCAGGATATCAATCTCAGCTCTTCCTGGAAAAAAAAAAAAAACTTTCCTGATAATCTTCACATTGTTCCTAGGGTTGTTGTGTTTCTGCCAAAACGTGGGTGTTAGATTGTATTCAAACTCAAAGAGGTTTTGGCTTGATTTTTGTGGCCTTGTTTTTGACCTTTGGAGGTGGCGGCGTTCACTCACACGCCCGTGAGATCTGACAGCCACACCTTAAAGTCTTAGCGCGAACAACCTCATCCCGGTTATGAACTTGTGTTTAATTAAGCTTCTGTTTCTCCGTAGGCTATTCTGAACGAAAACATCACAGTTTTGGACAGTAAAAATGAAAAATACAAACTCATCGAGGAGAACCGCACTGCTGAAATCAGCCTGCAGAAAGGTAGGAAAATTCCCGTCAGAGTTTTTCCTCTCATCAGAGCAGCCATGAAAGGAGAGCTCTCTCCCTCTCTCTCTCTCTGACGATATTCTTAGATGCATTTTCCCATGTAACCATAGAAACTCGGAAGAGACAACAAATAGGAAAGGCTTGTTTGTGACATGGAATTCTCTACAGTGGTTGGTGTAATAACATGAAGCGCAGTAACTAGTGGTATTTCTTCTATTTTTGCTCAGATTTCTTTGCCCTGTCTATATATAGTACGTGCATTTATGTATTGTATTCGCAGAAAATGTTGTCGAGTTCAATGCAAGTAAAAATGACTCTGCTGTTTAAAAGTTTGGGATTTTTTTATGTTTTTGAAAGAAGTATCTTCTGCTTACCAAGACAAGTCACATGGTTCAAGAAACATGTCTGATTATTATCAATGTCGAGAACAGTGTGCTGCTTCAGATTTGTGTGGATACTCTGTGAATATATATTTTTGTTTCAAATTCTTTGATGAATAGAAAGTTCAAAAGAAGAACAGTATTTATTTGAAATCATTTTTTTGTGAAGATGCGAAATCCTTTAGTGTTACTTTTGATACATTGAATGTATCTTTGAATCCTGAATCAAATATTTATTCCTTTAAAAAAAAAAATACTGACCCCAAATGTTGTATTCTATAACTGTTAGAATATCATAATATCATATATAATAAAAAAAGGTATTATTTTTAGTATAACTGCCTAACTCATCTAAAAAACAGCTTAATCTGGCTTAAGTTTGCTGGCTTCAACTGGTCTCCCAGCCTGGCTGGACAGATTTGTTGGTTGGTTATCAACATCATCTTCAACCAGACTAACCAGGTTAGAGCTTGTACAGACCGGAAGACTAGACCAGCTTAACCAGGCTGGGAAACCATTTAAAATCCAGACTGGAGACCATCTAGAACAGTTAAAGTCAGCTTTGCCAGGTGGAATTTTCTTTCATTTCACCATAGCATGAAGTGTAAAGACGTGGACCACCATGAACATGAACATGAACATCATCTTGATCTCAATGACAGCGGAGCCCAAGGAATCACCACAAGTAGTGTTACACTGGCTGTGATCGTTTGCCTTAGTCTGCTTTTAGTACCATGTAAGTGCTTTTTGTATTAGTTGAATCGTATTCCGAGTATGATTACAGTCTCTGTTGTGTCTGTGTTGATAATGAATCAGTATCCTGTGTGCTAATGAGATTCTGGTTTATTCTCAGAGACGAGAGGAAGGCTGGATGATGGAGTATTTGGGTACATGTTTCGGTTCAACACTGTTCTGAGGACACGGCTCTGGTGCACTTGTAACCCTGGACTGGAAGCACATGTAAATCGTCATTTGGAAGTGCTGATGCAAAATTTATGATCACGTGTAGTTAATGAAGGTGTTTGTGTTGCAAACATTTTTGGTGGCACGGCTGAGAGCATCGAGAATTTATTCACCTTCAACAAATGCTGTACTGCTGTACTTCATTGGTGGTAACTGTTTTTTTTCTTTAGACTTTTTTATTTGGGAAAAATATATAGATTTTAGGGTCTAGATGTTTCGGAATTGTATTTATTTTTGTTTGGAGTAACCTGGCTAATATGCCAATGATATATGTTAAGAGCTATTCAGAAAGTTTTACCACTGTCTGTTTTTTTTTATTTTTAGAAATTCATGAAAACCTTTTGAAAGCTATTTTTGAATAAAGTCACAATGTTGTCTTTAATGTGTATGACCTTTCCATCAGTACTATGTCAGCCTTTTTAAACAATAATCTGTTGAAAGATTTCCTTGTACATATTGACTAGTGAAGGACCAAGAGTAACACACACACACACACACACACACACACACACACACACACACAGACAGACACACACACACACACAGACAGACAGACAGAGAGAGAGAACAACAACGAATATAGGCTACTAATACTACAGTCTACCTTCAGCTATAAAACTATGGTAACTTATCACACAAATGTACTAAAAATTAGAAATTAAACAACTTATACTGAAAGCTGTATGTTTTTAAGAATATACTATATTTAATAATTTATTATGATACTGAAATAAAGCGAGTAATAGCCTAGCTATTTGGTCATGTGATCTCAACATGTTGAGGGGGCGACCCACTCCCATGTAAATTATAAAATTATGACTACTGCTTTCCAGTCTGCTCCTATTATGTACATTTAAACATTTACTTTAAAATTAGGGGAACATTTAACACAGCGTAAAACAGCAATACCCAGATTGCCTTACGTTATCGGAAATGACGTTGCACAGACCCGCCCCTCGACGCCTTCCAAAATAATCGCGCTTTGTGTATCCAACATGTCTGCGCCCGTGGAGGTAGTTCTGTCTGCAGATTCAGCGGGGCAGCTGTTTAACTGCGCGGTTTTCGACCCTCACTCCGGGTCAGAATTCTTGTCCTATCGCGGGGGTAACACGTCCTCCAGGTCTTTAACGGTCCTGAACGGAGAATACATATTAGGAGCTCAACTCGGCAAGAACTTCATAAACGTGTGGGAGATCCAAAGAAAGGTGGGTAGAGAGCTAAGGTTACTGCATCTGAAAATAAGCTCAGTTCAGAACAAGCGTTCTTCAGTTTAATTAGTTAACTAAAAGAAGATAATCGTTAATGGACAGTTGACATGTCAAACTGGGACAGCGGTGACTTAAGTGCTGCTTTAATATTTAAATTAATTAAATATTACTCGAAAGCCTTCTTACTTTTTAAAAATGTATGTCACATCTTACTAGCTTAAAGTAAAATAAGCTAAGCTATATTTCATACAAATATTAGCTTAAAAATATTGGTAAATGGTAAAATCCCAACCATGTTATTTGTCAGCGTAATATGCATGTTGCAGTCATCACTGATAATATAAAGTCAAGCTTTTCTCATATTTGAATAAGCAATGTGCAGAATAGGCTATTCCAGGATGATGCACAAGTTTTTAATTTTAGGAGAATATCCACCAACATGTGCTTTCTGTCAAAACCCCTTATCCATGATGCATGATTTATTAGATTGTACTGGTCTTAACCCTGTGATAAACCTTTTATGCTCAGCTAACACTTTTGAAGAAATGTTTAACCAAAGTTAAACCAAATATAGTTTTTTTTAGCATAAATAGATTGATATAGTTTATAACATTTTCTCACCATGGGAATAGCCACAAAAGCTGGCATGGCGTTAAAAACAAACTAACTATTTAAAAAATAGTCAACAGTTTATTGGTTTATCATTGTTAACAGAGATTAAATAAATAAGCATTAGTTATATAGATGATGGAGTTGTGACTGGGTTTGTGATTTAAGACACATGTGCAATAGACATGGCAGCCTAGACAGGTTTTAAATCTTTGGTTCAGTGAATGAAACTAAAAGTGCACCTGCCACAAATTAATCAATATTAAAGCTTTTTACAGCCAGAAATATCTGATCTGACTCAAATGTGATACAATTATTACTCTGTTTTCATGCAGTATTTAAACATCAAATTTGAATGGCTGTGACTCCCGATGAATTTATGACGATCTATGATATTCATTAGTCATTGACTGTGGAGTACAGATTGAATGTATTGGGAGAGCATTTCTAAATGCTCTGAATAACTTCCGAACTACGTTTCAGGACCAGCTACAGCAGAAGATTGTGTGTCCTGGGATTGTAACGTGTCTCTGTGCGTCTCCTGATGGCCTCTATGTCCTGGCAGGCATTGCTGAAGCTATATACCTGTGGGAGGTGAGGAGGAGGGTTTTGGCTATCAAGAAATATCACATTGTTTTTACATAATTCTCATTTAGTTAACTCATTAAAAAAATGTCAAATGCATGCTCTTCTATGATGATTTTTTACTTAAAATTCACTATTATTTTGGGGGGCATAAATGAAAAATTCATATGACTGTGAAGTCTTTTCAAATATAAAATATTTTAAAATATATAAAAAATAATATAGTTCAGGTTGTAAAATGTCATATGGTGCAAGTCTGAAAAAAACAGTAATATTTATGAAATAAAAAAAATACTTGACAAATATATTTAAAAACTTTGAAAATAACTCCCATATATTAAGGTGTAAGGAAAATATGTAATTACTTTAAAAGTTTTAAGACCATATGAACAAAATGAATGCAAAGCGTTTATATTTCTTGGCACATGTCTTTTAAGCTGGATTTATTGTGGACTCTTTCTTTTAATACTTTCTAATAGATGTCAACAGGAAATTTGCTGGCTATTTTGAGTCGACACTATCAGGACGTGAGTTGCATCCGTTTCACTGATGACAGCAGTCATTTTGTGTCAGGAGGGAAAGACAATCTGGCTCTCATATGGAATCTCTCCAGGTGCGTTAAAGGCGTAACTAATCATTTCTCTTTTGTTTTCAACTGCTACTGTGCCTATAAGTCTTGACCTTAATGAGTGAGAGCTAATCTACAGAGGTTTCCTCAGTTGTCAAAGTTGCACATGCAGGAAGTGGTATTGAAGTATCTTTTTTGCCTTTTTGACTTGAGTAATGAGCTTACTAATATTTGTCAGATTGGTAGAAAACAAAAACATGAATACATTTTTCACTGTTTTAGCTTTCTCTTCTCGCATAGTACACCAAGCACTTTAAGACATAATATATTTAGTTCATTCATGACAACTCTCTGAAGATTTTAGCATGGTGATGGATGTTAATGTATCTGGTTTTGGCGGAATAGATCTGCTACGCTGCTGCTGAATTACTGCTGCTGTTAATATCATAATATCATATATAATAAAAAAAGGTATTATTTTTAGTATAACTGCCTAACTCATCTAAAAAACAGCTTAATCTGGCTTAAGTTTGCTGGCTTCAACTGGTCTCCCAGCCTGGCTGGACAGATTTGTTGGTTGGTTATCAACATCATCTTCAACCAGACTAACCAGGTTAGAGCTTGTACAGACCGGAAGACTAGACCAGCTTAACCAGGCTGGGAAACCATTTAAAATCCAGACTGGAGACCATCTAGAACAGTTAAAGTCAGCTTTGCCAGGTGGGAGAGCATGTTGACCGAGATAAGACCATCTCAAACCAACTCATGCCAGCTAAGACCAACTCAAACCAACCTGTTAAGACCATAAAGCCATCAAAAGTTACTGCTTTTTTTTCAGCAGGGAACAGTACTGTTTATCCAAATTTATATTGAGCATTTCAAAGCCAGAATATTGTTTAATTTGCAAAGGATTTCCTGCCTCACTAAACAACTGCAGGAAATGACTCCTGAATGCATGAGATATGAAAATAACGGGTAATACAAAGGGCCCCTTTTACCCGCCTGATAAAGCGGTTATCTGAAAAAAGCTAGCTGACTTTGGAAAACCTTTTCACAAAACAGGATAGGTGTGATGTCCAGAAAAACGTTTCACACCAAGACCATATTTTAACACCAGTGTTGAACTTGAGACAAAGCAGCAAGTGAACAACACCAGCCAGCTACCAACTAGGACTCAAAATAGTGCTCTGACATCACCGAGGTCCTTTAAGAAACGAACTGATAAGTTACGCAGTGCCTAGACATTGCCTTATAAGCCAATGGACTTATTTCTTCAAAGAATGTTTGGCATATTGTTAAGAGAGTTTGAAGAGGAGCGCTAACATTGCGAGAGGCTTCACACTATTGGCAGTACATAGAAAAACGTTACGAGTTGTATTGTCTGAGGAGAGTTTTTCATTATCATTTCAGACCAGATTGAAGCCCTGGAGCACAATTTGACTCTGAAGGCCCAGGAGTTGGCATCATGTGAGGCTTTACACCTCGCTTCTAAACAGCTCCAAACTGCTGCAGAGAAGCAGAAACAGGCCTGCGAGACCACCAAGCAATATTTACAGAAGCAGCTGTAAGTCATACAGCATCTCTTCCACCACTATTTCATCGCACTTGAAAGAGTTCTTGTTTTATTAGACTGAATTAGATTATAAACCATGCAATGTGAAATATCCCTCAAAATCGTACATTGCATTGCATTTTTGCTTGCTGATGAGTTTAACCTATCACATTTTGCTGCTGAAATGATATATTAATGATATATAAGACATACTGCTGCTGCACAAATAGCATATAAAATAACCCGTAGCAGATCTATACAGGTGGAGCTGGGGAAGGTGAAGGGTTTCAGAGAAACTCTGGAAGTGCTCTGCAGGAAACTCAAGTGAATGCTAGCCAGCCATATGAATGCAAGGCAGTAAGCTCATTGGCTGCATATGCAGCATGAACCAATCAGCTTGTGCCAAGTCGTTTAACTCTCTGAATATCATCAGTTACGTTAACAACCCGTCAGCCTGCACCATATAGAGTTTCATGACTGAACTATATTTAAAGACTTAAAAGGTGACATCGCTAAATTGCTGCTTGTCTGAACCTTGGGAATATTGAGAGATGAGACTAGAATATTAAAGGGTTAGTTCACCCAAAAAGAAAATTGTAATTTACTCACCCTCGTGTTGTTTTGAAACCCGTAAGACCTTCGTTCATCTTTGGAACACAATTTAAGATATTTTTGATGAAATATGAGGGCTCTCTGACCCTCTCATAGACAGCAAGGTAACTACCACGTTCAAGGTCACTACCACATCACTGGTTCAACTGTAAAGTTACAAAGCTACAAGAATACTTTTTTGCGCAAAGAAAACAAAAATAACGACTTTATTCCACATTTTCGTGGAATACAATTGAGAAGAGACAAATGAGTGATTTGAAATGAAAACCTTATTTGATATATATATTATATTTTTTATTATATTATATATTTTGTTTTTCAAAACTGGACATATAAAACATAATATATAAAGGGTTTCTTAATATATATATACAGTTAGATCCATATATATTTGGACACGGTCACAATTTTCACAATTTTGACTCTGTATGGCACCAGAATAGAATTAAAATGAAACAATCAAGATGAAATTGAAGTGCAGACTTTAAGTTTTGATTCAAGGGGTTGAAAAAAATAAAACATAAAAAGCTTAGAAATTACAACCATTTTTATGCACAGTCCTCCCAAATTCAGGGGCTCAAATGTAATTGTAATAAATATAATAAAAAATAAAATGTTCATTTTTAATATTTTGTTGAGAATACTTTGCGGGCAATGACTGCTTTAAGTCTGGAACTCATGGACATCACCAGAGACTGGGTTTCCTCTTTTGTGTTGCTTTGCCAGGCCTTTACTTCAGCTGACTTCAGTTGTTGTTTGTTTGTGGGTCTTTCTGCCTTCAGTTTTGTCTTCATCAAGTGAAATGCATGCTCAATCAGGTTGAGATCAGGAGATTGACTTTGCCATTGCAGATTATTCCACTTTTTTTACCTTCAAAAACTCTTGGGTTGCTTTTGCTGTATGTTTTGGGTCATCGTCCATTTGCACTATGCAGCGCCACCCAATCAACTTTGCTCCATTTGACTGAATCTGGGCAGAGAGTATATCCCTGTACACTTCAGAGTCCATCCAGCTGCTTCTGTCTTCTGTCACATCATCACTAAACACCAGTAACCCAGTGCCACTGGACATCATGCATGCTCATGCCATCACACTGCCTCCACCATGTTTCACAGATGATGTTGTGTGCTTTGGATCATGAGTTGTTCCAGGCCTTCTCCATACCTTTTTCTTCCTGTCATTCTGATACAGGTTGATCTTAATTGCAGCTGTCCAAAAAATGCTTTTCCAGAAGTGGTCTGGCTTTTTTAAATGTTTTTTGGCAAAGTCTAATCTGGTCTTGTTTGCACCTTGTGGTGAATCCTGTGTATTTGCTCTGGTGACGTCTTCTCTTGATTGTAGACTTTGCCAGTGCGTGCTAACTCCTGGAGAGTGTTCTTCACTTGGCTGGATGTTGTGAAAGGGTTTTTCTTTACCATGGAGAGGATTCTCCGATCATCCACCACTGTTGTCCTCCGTGGACGTCCAGGGCTTTTTATGTTGCTGAACTCCCCAGTGCGTTCTTTTTTTTTTTTTCAGAATGTACCAAACTGTTGATTTGTCCACTCCTAATGTTCCTGATATCTGGATTGTTACACACACATATATTTATATATGCATAATAAATATACACAGCACACACGCATATACTATGTAAATAAAAACTTTTATTTTGTATGCGATTAATCGTTTATCATCAGTTACGTTAACAACCCGTCAGCCTGCACCATATAGAGTTTCATGACTGAACTATATTTAAAGACTTAAAAGGTGACATCGCTAAATTGCTGCTTGTCTGAACCTTGGGAATATTGAGAGATGAGACTAGAATATTAAAGGGTTAGTTCACCCAAAAAGAAAATTGTAATTTACTCACCCTCGTGTTGTTTTGAAACCCGTAAGACCTTCGTTCATCTTTGGAACACAATTTAAGATATTTTTGATGAAATATGAGGGCTCTCTGACCCTCTCATAGACAGCAAGGTAACTACCACGTTCAAGGTCACTACCACATCACTGGTTCAACTGTAAAGTTACAAAGCTACAAGAATACTTTTTTGCGCAAAGAAAACAAAAATAACGACTTTATTCCACATTTTCGTGGAATACAATTGAGAAGAGACAAATGAGTGATTTGAAATGAAAACCTTATTTGATATATATATTATATTTTTTATTATATTATATATTTTGTTTTTCAAAACTGGACATATAAAACATAATATATAAAGGGTTTCTTAATATATATATACAGTTAGATCCATATATATTTGGACACGGTCACAATTTTCACAATTTTGACTCTGTATGGCACCAGAATAGAATTAAAATGAAACAATCAAGATGAAATTGAAGTGCAGACTTTAAGTTTTGATTCAAGGGGTTGAAAAAAATATAACATAAAAAGCTTAGAAATTACAACCATTTTTATGCACAGTCCTCCCAAATTCAGGGGCTCAAATGTAATTGTAATAAATATAATAAAAAATAAAATGTTCATTTTTAATATTTTGTTGAGAATACTTTGCGGGCAATGACTGCCTTAAGTCTGGAACTCATGGACATCACCAGAGACTGGGTTTCCTCTTTTGTGTTGCTTTGCCAGGCCTTTACTTCAGCTGACTTCAGTTGTTGTTTGTTTGTGGGTCTTTCTGCCTTCAGTTTTGTCTTCATCAAGTGAAATGCATGCTCAATCAGGTTGAGATCAGGAGATTGACTTTGCCATTGCAGATTATTCCACTTTTTTTACCTTCAAAAACTCTTGGGTTCCTTTTGCTGTATGTTTTGGGTCATCGTCCATTTGCACTATGCAGCGCCACCCAATCAACTTTGCTCCATTTGACTGAATCTGGGCAGAGAGTATATCCCTGTACACTTCAGAGTCCATCCAGCTGCTTCTGTT